AAATGTCTGTTTATCATTTTATAAAAGCTTACATATAGATGTTAATTTTTAAATTTAAAATTCTTCTACACTTAAAACTGCCGTTTGTATATATTTAAACGAATGGTTATTTGGTCTTACAATTGTTATAATAACTCAGGACAACTGTAAGACCAAATAACCATTCGTTTAAGGTATCTCTGTTGGATCGCTAAAAAAAGAGCATAGCATGATTAAAAAGACGCCAAAGTTGATGAAAACAAAATTTTCGCGTCTAAATGCTTATGTTACTTTTTTTTAGAGGAAAGATCAAAGTATTTTTTACTTATTTTTGAAATTTTTCCTTTTTTTTTTAGAACATTGTAAATTTTGATTAAAAGACCCTTGTTTCTCTTTTTATCAGCTTGGCTGATAAATTAACGTATAAACATTTTAGCGCGTTTTTTCCCGTTTACATTAATTTGGAAAATCTTGCAAAAATGAAAATAATTGTCGGATTTTAATGAAATTTTCAGAAACTATTTACAAATGATGGAACTTATTATAAATACATTTTTTTTAGTAAAGTCATCTCAGAAATTTTTTTTTTTTTCCATATGTATTTACCCGCTCTAACTAATTGTACGAAAACTCTATAATTTCAATTATGAGGAGTTTAGTGATTATATCAGTTAACAATGCTTTGAGGAAACAAAATCATGTTTTTTGTTTTTTTTTAGTTGGAGCCCTTCTATCTGAAAATCGTCTCTGAAGTGTAACATACAAAAACTCAATAAAACAAAAAAATATTATTTAATTTCAAAAGCTTTTAATTGCTTTTATTTATTCCAATAAACATGGACAATATTGTCTGAAAGCAAAAAGATATTTCGATGAAAATGAATTTTTAAAACAATTACCTACAATTATTTTTTATTTCTGCAACCATTGTTTTTTATTTTTACATTATGTTGTTAATTCTTCTAAAATTATGGAAAAGCCGTACAGCTTAACGGATGTTGTTTTTAATAGATAAGTATTTACAGATTATAATTTCAAAGCTTATTACAAACTAATGAGTCTTCGTATATTAAAAAAATTAATTTGTCAATAATGTTTACCAATGAAATCTACGGAAGACCAGAAGTTTGGTACGTGCAATAAAAAATAACGTCACGTGGATTGAGTTTCTGTCTAGTAAGTGTTGTTCTTATGTATACGGCCCTTAATTTAGCAAACTGTTCCTGCTGAAACACGTGTGCATCATTTTCATTAAGTTAAAATAGGTACTTTCATCTAGTTTTCATCGTAGTCCTGTAATCTTTGGTTGAAATTGGTTGAAAATGTAGGAAATTCGATCCAATATGTAAACGTAACACACAGAACCTGGGTTTTATAATAAGTAAGATTCACATTTTGCCTCTAAAAAACTAAAAACTTTTCAATCATTTACACTGGCCAATTTTACTTTTAAATGAAACATATTGTTTGCTTTCAGAAAATACCTAGTTTCATGGGATTCAGATAAACTTTCCCTGATATTTTTCCAGATAAGTCATTTATATATATATATATAACCTAAAAAATATAAAATCCATTTATTTATTTTTTTCCGAGAATATAGGCTGTGACAAAATGACTTTTAATATGTTTGATTATTTTAATGGGGATAGAAATTTTTATAATAGCAAATCTGAATTGACTTTAGAGGGGTCTATATGGGCCCACAAACAGCAGTGCAGCACTTGTATCTTAATTTTTTTAATAGTATTTATAATTTCTCCAGATACCCTCAACAAACTTTTGGTACAGTACTTTAAAAAAAAAAAAAAATGGCGAAAGTTTTTTACTTTAAATAATACAAAGTACTACTTAAGTAGGTCCGCTTAAAAAAAAAAAAAACGATATGTCCATTCTATTCTTCCGTACGAGAACTTGAATCTCACGTCAGCTGTCAATAATTTATAGACGTCATCCTCAGCACTTGTCAATTGCGGCGATGTTGAGATCGGCTCTCTTTATCTTAAAAACATTTTTTCTCCGAAGAAAGTAGGTAAAAGTTTCTTTCAAAATATTTTAAATAAACTTCAAATTTTCTAAATTTCTTCGAATAAATTTTGAAATACGTATAATTAATTTTCAAACGAATTTTAAACGAAGAATTTAACTTATTTTAAAATTTCAAAAATATGGCTGATATCGAGCTTTTTTGTTCGTTATTTTGTAAACAAGTTTTTTTTTTTTAACTAAAATTTCGGACATGCTAAGAATGAGTAAAAAATTTCAAAATTACTCAAAAAATACTTTAGTGTTTCTTTCTCAATAATGAAATATACTTTTATCATGAAAAAATTTTTTTGTTAATTTTCAGACCATTCTTGTCATGCTATATTAGATTTTCTTGAAATAAACATTTACCTATACATACATATATATATATATATATATATATATATATATATATATATATATATACATATATATATATATATATATATATACATATATATATATATATATACATATATATATATATATATATATATATATATATATATATATATATATATATATATATGTATATATACATACATACATACATATATATATATATATATATATATATGAACATAGAAATCAATACTTAAAGGTGACAGTCTGTTTGTGCTATAATCAGGCCTGACGATTGACATATTACACACGGTCTATCTCTGATATTGAGCACTTTATCCCATAAATATAGCACATCTTAAGACTATATATATATATATATATATATATATATTCTTCACGTTGGGATGAAAGACAAAACTGTGTGAAATGAAAATGCGTTGAGAAAACAACCAAAAACTTTCTCGACTCTAGTCATCGGATCTGATAAGATAATTGGTTACCCCTGATATCTTCAAAATTCGAATGCATTTTCTTTACACGCAGTTTTTTCTTAGCTATTGTTAATATTAATATAATAGTAATAGTAATATTAGTCGTTTCCTTATAAGTGAGAGAGCTTTAGTATCTTATTACAAATCATTTCTCTTTGTTTCTAGCCACTAATATCAGTTTACTCATGCCTATCTCGTATATCAGTAAAAGCATATACAGTGTAACCCGGATGTAAGAGAGTTGTCGGGACCGTAGAAGAAGTCTCTTATATCCGGGTTTGGTCTATTTGGTTTAGGTAAGTATAGGAACACTTTGGAGCCAGAGAAAATCTCTCTTATATCCTGGTCTCTTATATCCGGGTTACACTGTATATTTCAATCTCTTCATATCTCTCATATATTAATGCTAGCCAGCAGGAGTGATGAGGATTTTCCGAGGCGTGGTTATCGCAAGTTGAAAATTATTTTAAAGTAATATTTGTTTCAATTCAGATTAATTAAACTTTAAATCAGTTAATCTTCTTAAAATAAAATTTCAAAAAAGTTTAATTTTATTTTTTATTCTTTTAAAGAAAGAGAATTATGTGTTGACAAATTTATCAATACAGACGCTTTCATCGTATTTACTGATAATCAGAAAAATCATCACAATCAATTTAAATTCGGTTTGAAATATAGCAAAATATTTGGTTTATTGGTAATATTAAGTTTAATCTCCTAGCTTGGAATTAAAACTAAAATACAAGCCTCAAGAAAGACATTTAATTTTTGTAAAATGCATTTTAAACCATAGGCTTCATTTGGGGGGGGGGCGCCCCTATATGTACTCCCTATTATATATATTTTTTCTTTTTTACGGTAAGGTTCGCTCGAGGTATAGGGTTGCTCTGGAGGTAGAGGGTTACGTTAAGGGGTAGTTTATATGGATAGGAGGGGAAGATAACGGTTGATTCTTGACAGGTTAATAGTGTAGTGATCGGGGAACATCCTGTTGGTAGTCTGTTTTATTCGCGGGTAGAATCTGTTCGAATGGAACTTACTTCTCACCGATGGAATACGAAGGGAATGTGGGTGGTTTGCTACCGTGTAAGTGTCATGGCGGGTCCTAGCCGTGAAGGTCAGACCTGGCAGAACCAAGGAATGTAGTTGGTTCGAGCACTTTCCATGGAAGTAGCGATAGAGCAGTGAAAGGCTCACCATATCCGATTTGTGTGTGTGTGAGAGAGAGATAGATAGAGAGAGAGAGAGATAGAGAGAGAGAGAGAGAGAGGTTGGAGGGTGGGATATATTTTTTTTTCCAACAATGACTCTGAGGCGTTTTTAAACTCTGTCAAGCCTGGAAAGTGAAAACTCATCATCTCCCTCCCAAATATGACAACAGTACTTCTTTTTCGGTCAAATCTGCCTCTTATAAAGGTAGAGGATAGCATGAGGAGTCAGGTAGTTACTAGAACTACACAGGGAGCCGATCGTTTTACTTGCATCTTTAGCGTTGGATCGTATATGAGTTCCAATTATCAGTTTATGTTATTGGTACCTAGAACCTGACAGTACAGAGATGGCCACAAAATAAAGGTCCAGTTTATTATTTATGATTTTAAAGTGAATTATGCTAAATATTAAACAAAAAATGACCTCAATAAGTGATTTCATGTAAGAATGGCACAAGTGGGATGAGAGGAAAAGTTTTTATGTTTATATAAATATTTTAGGTCTGTGATTGAGCTAAAATTATTCTGCATACACCTTCATACACGCAGAATTTAAATGAAATTGAAATAAATACCTGTATCGCTAGGATTAACGAGTAAAATGTGCGGCCCTTTGAAGTCATTTTCAAAGACACCTCTATTTAAACAAGAGATATTTTTTACTAAATATTTGGGTATTTTAAATTTGATCAAGTTGGTTGATAGGTTTTTTTAGCGACATATCAACTTCTCTGTGTTATTTAATGCCGAAATTAAAATATTTTTATTTTATGAGATAATAATGCTTTCCTGATACAAATCTTACTAATTAACCCATAGCTTGTGGGAGAAGAGGTGGATCCATACATCCCCAAGGGTACTCGCGTGCAAGTGAATATAACGAACCCAACCGGAATTGGATCACGGCTCTCCGATTAACAATTCACCAACTGCAAATTCAAGCTTAGAGCACCTGGTATTCTCAAGCTGTCACCCATCTTGGTACTGCTCGACGTTGCTTAACTTCGGTGATCGTACGTGAACCGGTGTTTCAACGCGATGTTGCCGTAAGCCACGAAATGCCAGGGAAGTAAATAATTACTACAAATAATAATAATAAACGATAGTAAGTAATTAATAGAAATTTGTATAAAGTAGGTACCTCCAAAGAAACGCGATATTTAATGTTTACAAAGAATTTTTTTAAAATGAAAAATCTTTTTTGAATCTTTTATTTTAGTTTTAATTTAATGCGAATAGATTAAATTTAATATTTCCAACAAGCAAAATACTTTGCTGTATTTCAAAACTAATTTAAATTGACTGGATAGAGTGTGTTTTTTTAATCGCGGATTTTAGCGCCATTTTTAGTCATCTGTTAGCTCTTTATTAAAAAAAAATTTGAAAAATAAAATATACTTTTCTGAAATTCTATTAGAGGAATATTAGTTGATTTAAAGTTTAATTAATCTAATTTTTTAATGATATTTATTCTAATCAAGGCATTCAAGACCCTAAGGCACAAGGGTTTACTGGGTTTGAAAACATTAGAAAACACAAACATTATTAAGGAGCGAGAATAATAGAAGAGTATTCTGGAAGACAGTAGATAACGATTGAGATTGCATTTAAATTTTTGAAGATCAAATTTAACTGGAAAGCATGTAGCTGGAAAAGAGTTTCACAAGCGTGAAGTACGAGAAAAGAAACTGTTAGCATAGAACATACGATTACATCTAGTCAATTCAATTGTAAATTGATGAAACCTTTTTACAAATCTATATTGCGATTAAATTTATAAAGTCTAGGTACCAAAGCGAAAAGCTCATCCGAACAATTGCCATGAAAGAAAAGGCACAGGGAAATAACTGTACAGCAGTGGGAAAGTGACTGAAACTTAAACGCCAGGTCAGAAAATGCATTTTTAACACAGAGGTAGATGTTTATTTAAGGTGTTGACATGTTGACCGCTTGATTGATAGTCTGAAGTTTACTTATTTTTTTACAGGGGACATATGTGTAAAAATAAGGAATTTTTAAGGAATATAATGTGAGCGCCTTTTTATATAATTTTTAACTAGCCAGTAATCTTAAAAATTTAGGAAAAATATTCTACGTAATCTAATGTTTTATTGAAGTTTCGGTACTAAATTTACTATAGTTATAGCTCATATTTTCTGATAATGTCATGTAAGAACGTCCGCATTTACAAAAATTTGCATATTTATACCCCAGATACACACAAATACGCACATTCAAAATTATTTTTAAAAATATTGGTGTTTGATGATTTATGTTAAGCTTTTCCATTTATGATTAGTAAATATAGTTTTCACTTAATAATATCACTTAAAAGGCTGGAATTAATACAGAATTTTAAAAGATTTAAAACTTGTAAAAATTCATTATTCATCGGAAAACTTTTTTTCTTAAGACAATAGTATCCATAATATATCTTATTCATGAAAGCAATTAAAAGCTTTTATAATTAAATAATGTCTCAGTTTTATTACATTTTTTTTTTTTTTTTACGATTCAGAGCAGATTTTCAGTAAGTGGGTCATTTAACCAAAATTTCGAACGTTGTGAATTGGATAAAAAATATAATTTAATATTTAAAAACCCTTTGGTCTTTCTTCTTAATAATAACATAAAGATTTTGACAATAAAACTTTGTTTTTTAAGTTTGGGGCATTTTTTCATTTTGTATGATTTTTTTTTTAGCTAATCTGTGGAGGTAACTAGATTGAAATTACTTTTTCTTTTTTACATTTTGGTTTTATATTAACTTCAATACTTCCAAAAATTTGCTAAAAAAACAAATAGACACCGAAAAAAATCAAAACATAAATAAAAACATAAGTTCATCGTCAAAATCTTTATTATTATTACGAAGAAAGATCTAAGGGCTTTTTTATGTAATTTTTTTTTTTTAATTCTTTTTAAATTATTAGAGACTTCGAAAGTTCGGTTAAAAATCTTTTATTTATTTGTTTGTTTGTTTTGTGTGTGTGTGTGTGTGTGTGTGTGTGTGTGTGTGTGTGTGTGTGTGTGTGTGTGTGTGAACCTTAAATTTGTACGGGAAATTTGCGAGTTCTTTTTGCAGTGAAAGACACGTTGATTTGGATATTCTTACAAAAATTAGCGGATTTTAATGAAACTTTCAGGATCTTTTCAGAAATCATTTTTGAAACTTTTATTCTTTAGAGAATTTTTCTAAAAATACATATACTTTTTTTTTTTAGATCAGCTACCCCTGCCTCCACACTTTAATTTTTATGAAATTTCGACAAATTATTTTCTGTATCGCTTAATTTTTGCATTTGTTATAAAGAGAAGTCTCGAAGAATTTAAATCATCAATTTCTTTTGGTCAAACAACTCCTAATTACCGAAAATTTGCCCTGAATCTTAAAATAAAAATCCAATAAAACAAAGACATCTTTGTCGGTATATTTATTACAACGTTTCGGCCGTTGTACGCTCCGCCCTTCTTCAGATGGTTGGAATGTCGTACTGAACCCTTTATTTCGCTCACTGCGGTAGACTTTTCCAGTTCCACCTGTCATGTCTAATGGATGTCAGTTATCAGTTATCTCCTGATTAATCCCCTCTCCAAGTTCTCCGCTGCCTTAACCAAGTATTGAACTCACAACTCTTTGGGTCCTGTCACTGGATTTAACTAACACTTTTATCCACTGTGCCACCTGAAGAAGGCCGAGCGTACAACAGCCGAAACGTTGTAATAAATATGGCGACGAAGATGAGGACAATAGTCCGAATAATGTAAATAGTGTACATAATACCTCATCTCAGAAATATAGACAGATACTAAAGACATTTTTAATTACAAAACATTTAATTGCTTTTATGAATAAAATACACTATGAACAGTATTGTCTTAAGAAAAATTGATAAATAATGAATTTTTACAAGAAGTTTTCATTTTTTGAAATTTTAATTAGAATAATTTATGAACTTTTAAATCTTTTTAAATTCTGTATTAATTTGTAGCAGCCAAATGATATTGTTATTAAATTAAAAGGGTATTTTCGAATCTTAATGGAAAAGCTTACTATAATTCAACAACGCCCACTATTTAAAAAAAAGAGGAATTTATATTTTTTGATTTGGTTTTTTTCTGTGTACAGACGTGCCAATCTTTGTAAATACGAACGTCTATGCATAGCATTGTCAGAAAATTATCTATAAATTACCTATAATAAATATAAAATTTATTGGCAATTTTCTAACATTTCCTCAACAAGCATCTTCGTAAGCCAAAGTACATAAAATTCAATAAAATATTAGATTGCTTAAAATATTTTCTTAAATTTTAAAGATTATTAGGCAATTAAAAAATGATATAAAAGTTTGCGTTCTTCATGTAACCGTTTCAGTTCTGTTCAACTTTGTTAAATTTCCTAAACATTGGGATATCAACAAATCGCTCAACACATCACAAAAACAATCCCTCGGTGTAATCTTTACAGATATGTACCCCGTAGAAAAAATTTCCAAACATAAGTCTATCGAGATAGTTTTTTTTATTTTTTATTTTATTTATTTTTTTAATAAGCTTTTCATTTCAAGCAAGGCGGGAGTGCCACTGACACGCAAGGTGTTACAGAGAGTAGGAGCAAGAGTAAAGAGGCGTGATAGAGAAAAGGAGAATGACGGGGAATTAGATCAAGGCATCTGAAGATGTCGATTGACATTGCATTTTAATAATTGAAGATTATAGCGACCAGGAAAGCAATTAAGAAGAAGGGAGTTCCACAAACGGGAAGTGCGAGACATGAAGCTATTGGAGTAAAAGAGACGGCTACATTTAACGTTTCAACAGTGAAAGGGTGGGACTGATATGCCAACCTAGTAGCACTTTTAAATTCATGCAGTTTGGGAACCAGCGAAAGTAACTTGTCGGGGTTGTCAACATCTCATAAAAATACCCAACATCGTGTTAAAAATGCTTTTAAAAGCAAGTACAATTTGTTTCAGTTATGATTAATTAAAGTTTAAAACAGCAAATCTTCCTCAAATAACGTTTCAGAGAAGTGTATGTTATTTTTTGAAATATTCTTTAATAAAGAGAATTATGTTGTGCTGACAGATTAGTCAATATGGATGAATTCATAGATTTTAGTGATAAAAAGAAAAAAATGATTTCAATCAATTTAAATTCAGTTTGAAATACAGCAAAATATTTTGCTTATTAGGAATATTAAATTTAATGTATTAGGTTGGAATTAAGACTAAAACTAAAATTAAAGCAAATAAAAGATAAATGCATTTTAAATATAGGTATTTATGTATAGGTATTTAAAATGTATTTTAAATGTATTTTAAATGTATTTTAAATATAGGTATAGCTTTTTTGTGAAGGCACTTATATTAAGTTAAATAAGAAGAGGATTGGACAAATCATTGGTTGTTTTCTCATTGTCTGGTGTCTTTAACAATATTGGGAGCCAACTACGCATTTTAATCGTAAAATGACCGCTGCTGAGTAATATATCAAATGATGGCGCTTATTCAACTTCGATGATTGCAAAGCATCCGGATTTTGTGTGCCTATTTTGTCCAGAAAGACAATTTCTTAGGGATATGTGTACACAAGCCGCATATTGAATGTAAAAGAGTTGCATGTATGGCACGCGAGTCGCAGCTTGACCATTCTTGTTCTGTATGGTAACTCGAATGATTCCTTTTATAATTGGTTCGATCGTCACATTCACCAAAGAGTATGCGCAATTTAAACAAGGTTTTACTACCATATGGTTATTACAGTCTGTCAACTGGTGTGACTAAATGATGAATAATTAACTAAAAATCTGTGAAAATTGGTTTATTATTTTTTAAATGTTATTCGGAAAATCTAACTAATTCTTTGTTATTTACTAACGTATGGATTAATTTATTTTTACGGCTTAGTAACCATTTGCAAGGGGTAATTTGCTTTTTAACCCCCCGCGCTAAATATGTAATGAAAATTTGCCGAATAGTTATATTTAGGTGTAAATTTACATGCTTAATTCGAAAATAATAAAGAAATTTTTATAAAATCTACTGTTTAGGAATTATCGACAATAAAAATTTCGGACCCATTCGCGTTACGGTACAGCAGCCATTATTGACGTTGTTTGCTTATATTCGCGGCTGATTAGATTTGCGCGGAAAATTACATCGTTAACGACCTTTTTACAGTTCTTACTTGACTGAATTACTGCGCAACTAAGGACTCACTGCGTGCGCAGTAAAAAAAAAAAGCTATCCCGCGGCAAATATCTGAAAACAACGCCAGTAATGGATGTCGCGACGAGAATATGTCCGAATTTCTATTGCCGATAACTCCAAAACAGTAGAGTTTATCAAAACTGCTTTGTTATTTTCGAATTAAGCATATACATTTACACCTAAATATAACTATTCGGGAAATTTTTATTACATGTTTAGCGCGAAGCTTAAAAAGCAAATTACCCCTTGCAGGTTATTTAAAGCCAGAAAAAATATTTTAGATCGGAAGAATTTTTTGAAGACAATAATGATTTTTACTGATACAATTTCTACTAATTAATGAATAGTTGCGGGGAAGAAGATGGGGATTCATACCTTTTTTTCAAGAGTATTTGAGCGTAAGTGAATATAACGAACCCCACTGGAATTAGAACTCAGCTCTCCGATTTCCGATTCCGTGCCATTATCCATCATACCACTCGCTCACCCAAGCTTACAGCACCTGGTATTCCCAAGCGGTCACCCGGCTGGGTACTGACCCATCTTGAGGTTGCTTTACTTTGATGTTCGTACGAGAGCCGTTGTTTCAACATGATATGGCCGTAGGCTTACTAGCGTATTATACGTATGTCATATAGGAAGAAAATGAGTAACTACAGACACCGAGGTTGAGCGTGACATTCTCCACTTACGAATATATGTTTTTCGCTATGTGTATAAATAGCGGTGTCAGGCTACTGAATGCAGTGATTATTTTGTGACTACTGAGTGGAACTATCCAGTCGAATTAGTGTGAATTATTGTGCGTCGATGATTTGAGTTTTAATTTGGGATTTACCGGACGTTAAGCCGAGCTGCACTACTAACAAGGTATTCATTGAAATGGTTAATTATCTTTGGTTGACTTTACTTCTTTGTTCTTCTTAAGTATTTATTTGCTGTTGTAATTAAATACTTTTTTTTAACATTAAAGCCTTGTGTTATACTTAATCATTAACGGCCGTAAAAACGTATAAAAATGGTGGCAATATCTACATATTATAATATACATAAAAAATGTAGTTTAAATGTACTAAATAAAAAAACGTGCATATATGGAAGGACATATATTTTCATTTATTAGAATTTATACTTTTTAAATATCATTTTAAATCAATATGACAATAAAACTGAGACAATTATCAACATTAATATTAATAGCAGTAGTATTACTAGTCATATTACCAGCATCAGTTTCGTAATTCCAGCAAACACACAAACACGGTAGATCCCATTTCGTGTTTGTTTGTTTTTAACCCTCCACCCGTTTCCTTTTGCCTAACAAAGCTTATATTTTTCAAATGAATTTTACCACATGTTCAAACAGATTGGTTAAATGAATACAGTTGTTTGAATCCCGGCTGCGCTGCTTGGGAATACCAGGGGTTGTAAGTTTGGATGTGCCGATGATGTTATAGATAATGTCTCCGAATTATTAATCAGACTGCCGAGTTCCAATTCCAGTTCCTTATATTCACTTATGTGCAAATACCCTTCAAATACCTATCTCGTCTCCCCCAGCTATGGGTTAATTAATAATATTTTTATCGCTAAATCATTATCTCCAAAAAAAAAATCTTATAATCTAAAAATATTTTCTGATTTTAAACAACCTGAAAATGGTTGATAAAACGTAAATAACAAATAAAAGAAAAATCTATGGTCTTCTTCAGGTGTACTTGTACAGAAAGAGAAATCTGTCTTTTCTCCAGTATTATAATTTTTAGGCAACACGCTGACGCGTGTTTAAATCCTTACAGTATTTAATATTGTGAAATTTATCGCTAACACTTTTGTCGGGATTTACAGTTTCTACATTTCGTTCAATTTCACAAACCAATCGATGAAATTTGAATAAGCTGATTTGTTTGGAAAAATACTTTGACAAAAACCCTACTTCGGAGTTTAATAATTTCTTTAATTTAATTTAATTTCATAGGACTTTATTATAAACAATATTTTAAAAGGAAATTTCTTTTTTTTTTACCTTTTTTTTAACAGTAAAGAATAAATGCTTAGGGTTTCTTACCCTTGAGCATGCAACATACAACTGGCCATAAATATTTCATTCTGGAGTCAAATTCCAACATTTTGAAGCGTTAGAACTTGTGATTTGTTTATAGTTCTCGCAAACGCAGGGCGAACTGCAAACTGGATTCTTGTATATAAAAACTTAAAGAAAAGGTATGCAAAAACTGTAATGCATTTTTAATTCCCCCGCCTCAAATTAATGAAAATTTATTGTACTAAGCTACGCACCCTAGTAAAATCAATTGTACTTTGTACACCCCTTACCTGTTTGAACTTCTCCCCCAAATTTGGTTTCGATCAGTCAATGTATGGCTATTTTAGAGGGTGTGACGGATGGATGGAAGTCACAGAATTTTATATGTAGAGTGTAAAGCAGCAAAACTGAAGCAAAGAGAAAATGCATACGTTGACGGTAACACTTGAAATATAACCAAAATTAGGTTAATAAGAATAAAAAAGACTAATGTAAAAGACGTAAGTGCATTTGTTTGTATTCTCATGTTTGTATTCAGACGATAAACGGAATAGAACAACTACTAATTACTTGCAGACATGTTTTTCGAAATTACTTTCGTCCAGTCTGTTGGAAAGCTTTAATTATTTACAAGAGAAAGGCGTGACTGTCTTCATCTATTTAATGCATTGCTGTTCTAAAACCTATTCTCGATATAAGGTTAATTTTTCGTTTGCTTTCGCTTAGATGCGTCATGGCAACTTCACCATTTTCAGCTTAATGTTCCATTAAAAATTGTCTCTAAGCAAATAGGTTCACAAAATCCAGATGAATGGTAATGATAGACATTGAATAAGCATCGCCACTCGATATATTTCCCGGCAACGGTCACTTTAGGTCTGAACTGTGCCGTTTACTCCGAATGCTGTCAAAGATGCCAGTTACCAAGAAAACAATCAAACGGTGATTTGTCCACTCAGTGGTGGAAAGGTTTTCAACACAACACCCAATCTTTTTACAAGACGACAGACGTACACTGTTTGTTATTTCTCTGATTGCGAAGAGAAATATAATGTTCCTTTTTTCCTTATTAGAAAGGTGATAACTTCTCTTTTTGTTTTTTGTTTTTTGTTTTAAGTTTCTTTTCCCACCTTTATTTTTCTTCTGCTTTACGGCGGTCGTCTGATTTTTTTTTCCTCCATCATTCATTTTTTTTCCATCGCCAATATTCTTGTTCTCTCATTTAATGTTCTTTCTTCTTTTGCTTTTCAGTTGCTTGATTTTGTCTTTTCCCCTCCATCTTGATTTCTTTTTTCCTCTTTTCCTTCAATACTTTTTTCCTATTTTCCATTACTGCTTTTCAGTTGTTTTTCCTCCATCTTTAATAACCTTTTTCCTCAGCCAATATTCCAGCTTTCTGTTTTTTCTTTCTTTTTGTTCTACATTTTTTTATTTATCTTTCCCCAATGTTTCTTTCAATCAGTTATCTTTACTCTTCTTTGTAATTCTCTCTTCTGCATATTTTTCCTTTCCTCTCTTTATTGCGTTATCGATATTATCTCGACTTAGCTTAGGTCGGCATACGGATAAATGGAGAGCAAGACGGTGAAAAACAGAATCAGGAAGATTTTGCTATGCCAATATTCAGATGAGAGGAGGCTTGTTTAGAGAATCAACATTCGAAATCCTGAATTTTAGCTGGGCTCGAACACTAGCTTCGTAGAGATTGTAACTATTTTTTTTATTTCCTTTGTACTATTCGCTAATCTCGTTCGTTTATTAAATATTGTGTACTTTCTAGTTGTGTATTTGTTTCTATTGTGTAATTTATTTTTCATTCATATTTCTTATCTTATCTTATCTCTGTATTGTCTTCATTATCTTCTCTTCCTAGTTTAAATTCTTCCTTTCTTTTTCGTTCTTTTGGCTTTTAACCGCGAGTTTTATATCTCTCCAAGCATAATGACGTCCTTTGAAAAAAAACTAAAACTCTTTTGTATTTCTCTGTCTTTCCCTTTATCTTTCTTTCTTTCTTTTCTTTCTTTTGTGGGACATGGCTTTAATGCAGCTTTCTAAAATTCTCTTTTTATTCATTTCCTCATTCTTTCTTTCTTTCTTTCTTTCTTCTTTCCATTCAACTTTCAAAATTTTTCTTTTTATTCCTCGTCCTTTTTCTTTCTTTCGTTCTACTTGTCCCTCTTCTTCTTCTGTGCGATATCGCCTTCTATGCCGGTTTTAAATTTTCTTTCTTTATATTTCTTTCTTTCTTTCTTTATATTTCTTTCTTTCTTTCTTTATATTTCTTTCTTTCTTTATATTTCTTTCTTTCTTTATCTTTCTTTCTTTCTTTCTTTATATTTCTTTCTTTCTTTATCTTTCTTTCTTTCTTTCTTTATATTTCTTTCTTTATATTTCTTTCTTTCTTTCTTTATATTTCTTTCTTTATATTTCTTTCTTTATATTTCTTTCTTTCTTTCTTTATATTTCTTTCTTTCTTTATATTTCTTTCTTTCTTTATATTTCTTTCTTTCTTTCTTTATATTTCTTTCTTTCTTTCTTTATATTTCTTTCCTTCTTTCTTTCCTTCCTCTGTGTGATATGGCTTTCTATGCCACTTTAATAAATTAATCATTTTATTACCTCCTCTTTTTTCTTTCTCTCTATTTCTTTCTTTCATCTATGTGATATAGCTTTCAAAATTTCTCCTTTTGATTTCTTCATCTTTTTCTTGTCTATAACTTTAAAAAAAATTCTCTTTCTATAACTCCTGCTTTTTCTTTCTTTCTTCGATGCTTTTCTAGTTATTTTTTGTTCTATTCCGTTTATCTTCGGAACTCTCATTGTCAGTGGCTTCTTTTTCTTTTTTCGTCCTCTTTCTTTTTCCTCCTCTTTCCTTTTTCACGGGCATTAATTTATCCTTTCCGTTTATCTTTGTTTCCTTCTGTTCCATTGATTCTCTGTCTTTCTCCTTTTCTTCCTCTACTAACTTATTCTTTAGTTTCTATTTTTTTCTCTTTATTTTGCATTAGTCTCTTACTTTTTCTTTTTCTTTCCCTCCCTTTCTTTTGATTTGAATCTATCTTGCTTGCCTTTTTCTCTCTTTTCATTTTAATTCTGTTTTTGCCATCTCTGTTTCGGGTCTATTTGATTCTATCTTCAATCTTTCTTCCTCACCAGCGTAATATCATTGTTGTTATTATTCTTTTCTTTTCTTTTTTCGTCGTTACAGCCTTTAGTAATAACCACTTTTCTATTACAGCCTCAACAAACCACCCTTTTGTGTCTTGTTCACCAACCATCAATGTTTATAGATGACTGTTTGAAACCAGAAACCTTTCTTCATTTTGCCGAGTTAGCAGCATGCAATGAGAAGAAGCAAAGAAAAATTGAAATAAAGACAAGGCAAAAAATATATATAACATGAGACTAAGAAAAAAAATGATCAAACTGAAAAAGAAAGCAGAGGACATAAACGATGTATGACAATATTTATGATTCCACAAGAGACTAAATCTGATGAGGATATATAAACTTGTATTTCTCGTCATTTCTTTTCTACTAATGTCGGGGCGACAAGAAGAAGGAGAAGAAATGAAATAAATAACATTGTGGGAATAAAAGAAATGTGCAGAGAAGAAAAATTATGGAAAATAGGGTAATAAATGATGAAACATGCTAAATCAGAAGAAAAGGAAGAAGAAATAGAATAGGGAAATGGAGGATAAAAGGTGTAAAAAAGAAGAAGGAATAAAATATGCAAATAAGGGAGGAAGTAGTAGAAGAAGAACCGGAAGAAGAAAATATGAAAATAAAGGATGAAATATGTTAAAAAGTAGAAAAAGAAGAAAAAAGAATGAATAAAATATAGAAATAAAGGATGACGCATTACAAGAAGAAGAAAAATCGAAGAAGAGGAAGAAAATGAGGGAAATAACAGATGTGCAAAAAAGAAGAAAAAGAAGAAGAAATAAAATAGGGGAATAAAAGAATTAAAGGTGTAAAAAAGAAGAAAAAAGAATAAAATATGTAAATAAAGGAGGAATTAGTAGAAGAGGAAGAAGAAAATATGAAAATAAAGGATGAAAGATTTTAAGTAGAAGATTCTTTAATCTAATTTCCAGCTACATAAAGAACGGCCAACGATTCTCAAAAATATGTCTATTAGAACAAGTAGCACTTTTGACAACCTACTACTACACACACACACACACACACACACACACACGTTTTATATGTCATGAGGAGACGCTGAAAATTCTCGGCCCTACCTATTTGACAATATCTGACCAAATGATAAAATATGAAAATTCATTTTGGAAATTCTTTTTCTGGGTCGGGTCGAAAGTCTTATATCCACACATACATACATACATACATACATACATACATTCATATATATATATATATATATATATATATATATATATATATATATATATATATATATATATAAAGAACAGTCAGATTTATAATCCAGAGTTCTTTCGCATTTATTTTTAAAAACAGTGCTCGATACACAGTAGAGCATAATATTATAATTATTTTTGGCACAGAAATTACCATGTTTCGAAACCAAAATCTAAATATTAAATTAAAGCTAAAATTTGAAGTTCAGTTTTATTTTCAAGCGATGCTTTCGAAAAAGATTGATTTACTCTATTTATAAGCCAAATAGTATTATATATTTTAAGTTGGTGGGGGAATGAGAATTCAAAAATTTTATTAACAGGGTGTTGGCTTTTTTTTTCTTTCTTCTTTTTGACGAACGAAGATAAAAGTATATTTTTATGTGGCAAAGTTAAAATCGGTTAAGGTTAGGTGGAGATTTGAAATTTCTGTCTGTTGATACTGACTTCCTTTTATGCGAACGTGTCATCACAGTCTGTTTTTTTTTTTTTATTTATTTTGGGTTACACGACAATACAATTGGTATTTTCATTTATGTATTTATTTATATTCTTATTTTTTAAGCTACATCGAGATTTTCTTAAAGAGGTTTTCAAATATGATTAAGTCATTTATATCTATATCTTTATTTATAAAGATCTAAAATACTATATTTATTATATTTACTAATAAACTATATTTGGTATTGTAAAATTAAAATATTAGAATTTAATTACGCATTTATAAACTATTTTATTTATGATCAAATAATAGATATATAATTATGCAAATTATTTTTATAATTAATTATATTTTAACGAAAATATGAGACAATGTCTACAAAAAACTGCTATTTGATTTCTTTAATTTAATAAATTTTTATTTTTCAGAAAGTTAATATATAACTTTTCCTGTAGGCAAAAAGGACATTGGGCATTTAAAGATCTACATGTACCCGTTTTTTATTAGTTTCATTTTACTGTGAGTGTTTTATTTGTTTTGTTTTTTTTAAATGTCAAAAATATTTGGATAGGGATGTTTGGTTGCGATACTTAATATTATTGAAGGAAGTCAGATGTTGGCTCCATCTTAATTTAATTTCATTTTTTGTACATCCAATGTAAATTTTCACAACATTAGGATTGCCAATAGATGAGATAGTGAAATTCAAATTTTAAGTTTAATTTAAGAAATTAAGTTTTGGTTTAGAAACATGGTAATTTCTGTGTCGCGATGAATACATATTTTTTTTTAAATATTTATATATATTGTGCATTTGGGCAGTACCTCTTTTATACAATTTTCGTTAAAAACGACTGACAAGGTACTGCAGTTAAGTTTTGTATTTAATTTTTCTTGTGTTCTTATTTTTTCTTTTCTGGACATAAATTATGTAGAAATTGCCCGGATGTTCTGTATGCCCGAGCGTTTTCAGCTATACATTTAGCTATTATTAAGGATTATCATTATACCCTTGATAATGGCTAAAAATATTGCCACAGAAGAGAGTGAAGGCAAGAGAGATATAGGAAAACAATGTATAACCTATCTTGTTAGCTTGAGTAAATGGATAGTAGAACAAGATTTAGGAGAAGTAAGAAAAAGACAGAATTCATTAATAGCCTCAAAGGACATGAAATTGTGGAGATCCATGATCGCCATTATCCTGGAGAATATTTCAAGATTGCAGAAGATCAACCACCATTTATGGATGGTCTTAGATTATATGCTACCAATAATGACCAGTTGGACCCCTTGATAAACACTGTAAAGATATGCTCCCAGGATATGAGGGGACCATTCGGATTTGATAAGTGTACTGATCTAGGAATGAGAAGGTGGTAGAAAGGTGGATAGCGCGTGGATAGAGCCCACCTGATGGGGAATCTATAAAGTGGGTATATAGGAGTGCTTATAAATACCTGGGAGTTCTACTGACGGACAAGTCTCTCAATGACAGAATGAAACCGCAGATACGAAAAGACTATGTTTTGGCGTGTAGATAAGTTCTGTAGATCCAAATTGAATGGTGGAATATTGTTTCAGGCATCAATTCTTGGGCAGTCGGAGTTGTGAGATATTGTATTGTTGAATGGACTAAAGATAACCAAGCAAACTTGGAACGAAATGCAAGGAAGATAATGAGCACAAACTGATGCTTACATCCTAGGGGTAATCAGGTTAGGTTTTACCTGTCCCTCCGAAGAGGTTTGGTTGGAGGTGAAGAATATGTCGTTCTCGGCTTTATCTCGTATCCAAGAATTTAATTTTTTTTTTTTTTTTTTTTTTTTTTTTGTGATCGCTTCATGTTGTAACCTAGAAAGGGTTACTGAATGAGGAATAACCAAAATGGAGGTTGGAAATGAAATGGTAATCTTTAATACATCAACAAAATACATTACTCGCCAGCGGCGTGAAGTAGGCAAACCACTTCTAGTGATGGACAGAATATCGATATTTATTGTATATAAATACAATTATGGCACAAAGCCGAAAAGGGGAAATGGGTTGAAGCTGGTCTTCACTTACTATCCTATACCTAGCTAATCCGATTCACGATTCATTTACTCATTACAAGTTGTACATTCATTACAAGAAATTCATCTGTCACCAATCAATCCTCCATACACCATAATGCCGCATCCTCTCAGGGGAACCTACAAAATGCACCCGGTGGTATAAAAATTTGATGATAATAAATATTCTACACATAAAGATCTAATGAATGACAATGAGAGGGGAAGAGATCAGTGGCGTAGCTAACGGGGGCGAGGTGGGCGGACCGCCCCAGGTGCCAGCACAGGAGGGGTGACAATGTCATCCCCAACAAAATTTTTCAACTAGGCTAAGGTGCCAAAAATAGTCTGAAAACAGTGGTGGAGACACAGGGTTTCGCAGGTGGGCAACAATGTCTCTTGTTACTAACATGAGACATTGTTGTAACATTTTATCGGATGATGGTGTTTTAACTCTGCATCATTAATAACAACAAAGCGAAATACGAAGCCAAAAGTGCAATAATTTCGGTCTTGCCTGTGTATCAATTCGTTGAGATACAATTTTTCATTGAGTGAGCGATATACTTTTGAATATATCTACTAATGTTGAGACGATTAATTGGAATCGAATTCGAAAATTGGAAAAATCGGAACTTTTTGGGGTATCGGAATCGTAAAAATTTGTGCCTATTTTCCAATTCTAAAAATGATTGTTTTAAAATTTTAACTTAATTTTCCATTATTGGTACTAATGATAAATATTTATCGTTTTTAAATTATCACTAAAACTAAAATCATAATAACATCAAAATACGATGTAAATTTATTTTACTTGTATAAAGAAAAACAAAAAAATAAACTTTGCATAAATTCTCTAGGTAACCTAAAAGAATGCAGTTGATTTATAATGTTCCGAAAAATGCTTAAAAATTAAATAGAACATTTTTGTCAAGAAAAATACTTTCAAACGTCATTGATAATTAAATGGTACCCAGAAAATGATGCAACGGAAAATTGGACACCGGAAAATTAGCAACAGAAAATTATGTCAACCGTGAGCCAGTCGAGACTGTCGGATCTGGCTGTGCTATCCATTGAAAACGAGCTTACAAGACAAACAGATTTTGACGATGTCATTGATCAGTTTGCCAAAATGAAAACAAGAAAACATTCATTCTAAGACCA